TTCCTTCTTACTAACGACCATGCACCGAGATCAAGATCGTTTCAACACCACGATCTTGCACATACGACCATAGGATCTTGAACTCAGCGCTTCCCGTTCGCTCAGCGGTACTTAAGCAAGATACCGGCGGATTAGTAGTTAGGTGGGTGACCACTAGCGAATCCCCGCTGTTGTATGTTTTTGCTCTTTTTGCCCGGGGTTCCAAATGTAAGCCTGTGATGTGGCTCCGGAATCTTCACCATTCACGGCGGTGGGTGTGGCCAACGGGGCACTGCACGTATGGGCTGCTTACGCCGTACAGCTGTATTTTGCCTCACTGCATTGCATTAGGACGAATGCGTTGCTAATTTTTGCAACTGGGCTGGACGATCGCAGTCTTATGCGGCCGTTTCTGGACAAGGCTTTCTACTGTATATGCGGCGCTCCTCCGAAGTCGATGTCACCATGACTACGTCTGTCCGTTTCTGGCTTGGAATGTGTACTGTCTGGTACCCGAGAGAAAGGATAGGCGTTCCGTGTAGCCCGATCTGCACGAAGAGGCGAATGAAACGAGATACCGGTGGACTTCCAATCCAATTGAGATCACACGGAGGAAGGCATGTCTCATGGCTAGGCACGAGCGCATCGGGGCTTCGGTACGGGCGGCTTCTCCATCACTAATCGTACGGTATGCCCACATACTTTGCGTTTATGCTAGCTCATTCTAGAAATGGTTTCTAGTCTACATCGCCAGTATGGCGCCGCGCTGCCGCAGCCTGCCAGCTAGTTACGGGATGACAGCCCATTGCGGCCTCATCGTCACAAACACCTAACTATTCAGTACTAAAGCGTGCCTCACGATCCACTCAGATGGCTTACCGCCTGGTTCCCCGCCTTTTATACGATAGCCTTGGTGTACATCACCTCGCGCCCCTCGTTTACTCGTTTAGCCGTTCCTGGGCAATGCTTCTCCGTAGCTTGTTTGGAAGGCTTATGATACCTAGGTAGCTCTACTTGGATATCAGTACGACCACGAGTTTGACGCAAAGCTTCAATGAACAGCATAGACGAAGACAAGATCGCAGTCTGAGTCGGTCTCGTGCTCTTCTTTGGTGAGCTTGCTGCAAAAGTAACTGTTTCACGTCAGCCTGTGTGGCCCATCAGCGCCACAAGCTTTTGGACCCTTCGGAAGCTTATCGTGTTTTGGACGGATACTAATGCACATACATCAAGCTAATGCCGGGGCCGTAGGACCTTAAGGCCGTAAGGCTGTACCGCACGTACACTACGGCCCGCAACCCTTCACCACCTTCCACCAACGAGAGGCAATGTGCTTCCCGCTTACTTGCATCATATTACCATATTGTAACTCCAGGATACCAGAACTACTGCGACTTCGTGCTGCTAGGTGATGCGATCGACCGGATCAGGCGTTCGTTCCTGATCGGCGCTTCCCGGATTATCCGAAGTGGGCGGATCTCTTGACACGTCTCTACGTTTGCGTCCAACAGCGGAGCACCTTCCGGTTGCATCTCTCGTTAGCAGTGGGCTACGGAATTTCACGTGCACTCCAAGAAGTAAGGCTGTGTTTACTGTGTGTCACTTGAAGTACGGAAGGCAGACTGCTTTCATCAAAACCTATGCTGCGGAGGCATCGTAATTCGCGAGGTTTCACTGGGTGGTTACTCCTTCATCACCAAAGGAGACGAATCCTAGGGGCTCTTAACCTACATTTTAGGAACATGATCTCCAGATCGGAGTTGTAGCCGAAGCGTGTGCATCGAGCATATGGGGGGCCTCATCCCAAACACGCATGCCTCAGACCATCATGCACATCAGCATCGACGCACCCTGACCGGTATCTTCACTTCCAAAATAGTAAGGACAGCGTGGCTCATTCAGCTAGGGGGCGGCGTGTGCGAGTCTTCCTGTACGCATACATTTTGTCTATAAATACTGCGTCCGCACAGCGATTTACAGACATCAAACACATCAACTTCCAATCCATTACCATCACAAACACTCAGAACCATCAATCAATTATGTTCGCCAAAATCGCATTCGCCCTTTTCGCTCTCAGCAGCACTGCTCTGGCCTACTCCGACAAGTAAGCCACTTCCCCTTCCATACTTCCCCTCACATCACCTGGGCAACCTCCCATCTACCCATCATCCTCAACCCTACTAACCCACTCACCCAGCTGCGACGGCTCCAGCCGCTCCCCCAACCTAAGCGAATGCTACGTCGGCATCGCCAGAATCGACGTGAACGCCTACTACAACGACCAGCAGGAGTTCTCGCAGGGCAGCTGCTTCATCAAGTACGCAACCAACGGCTCTGGCCAGCAGGCAGTGCGGGGTCAGGTTATCAAGGACAAGGCCGAGTATATCTTGGCTCACTGCGGGAAGTCGCATGGTAGCTACGGAACTGGTAACTGCGATAAGTGCCATGTCACTGTCAACTACCGTAGCTAGAGGGGATGAAGAGATACTTTGGAACTAGGGGGAGGAAGGGGGAATACGGATTTACCGCGGTCGGTTGTCATGTGCACACTCGTTGAATTGAAAAACCTGTTTATTTGGTATCCAGCCAACTAGCCGATGATGCGGACTCTGTTTTGTGAAAGACTCGCAGGAAAAGGATAGCCATCCAAGGAAAACACATGAGATCATTAAGACTGTAGCAAGCGTTCCACCTCCACCATCGTATCCTCAAGCCCTGATACGCTACGCCTTTTTCCAGAAATCCGGTATCTTGGTTTGTTTCCCACCGCGAATCACAGCCTGGAAGCCGGGGCCGTCCTCGTCCTCAATCTCGCCTTGGCCTTCCTCTTCGTCGTCATCCTCGCTCTTGCTATCTTCGTCGGTGTCTTCGTCGTCGTCTTCGTCATCATCTTCATCGTCATCCTCGTCATCTTCTTCATCTTCAGTTTCGTCTTCGATCTCTTCCTCAACATAGTCCACAACGTCCTCCTTGACTTCCTCCTGAACATCCTCGTCAATTTCCTCCTCAGCCTCTACGTCAGCAGTCACGTCAACCCCTTCCTCTGCCTCCGATTTCTTAGCCCTTGGTTTCGCCTTCCACAGCGCCATCCCAATGCCCTTGCTCTCCACGTCTTCTGCCTCTTTCAACTGCTCCATCAAACCATAGTATTCGCAATACTCTTCACTAGCCAAGATCCAGCGTTTGGGATGACGAATGCCCATCTCGCCGATGATTCCATCCGCAGCAGCCACTTCGTACTTGTGCGGCCACTGGTTTTCGTACTTGAGCTCGCGGAGCTGATCTGTCCTACGCATCTCTTCCGCATGTTCAGCGGTGTAGGTGTGTCTCTTACCAAAAAGTTTCTTGGGGACGGTTGTGGTGGTAGGCAGGAAGTTCCAAGCGAAGTTTATTTGCTTGGTCTGGATACGGCGGCGGGTCTTGTTTCCCAGCAGACCTGCTTGCTCGACTTCCTCTCTCCAGTCCCCATCGCTAAGCCGCTTGTACTGCACGCGCGCGAAGCGGAAAAGTTCTGCGGTCTTGTACCATTCGCGCTCAGGAGCTGGTAGATATTCGTCTTCTTGTTCACATATGGCATCCCAGTCTAGCGCGTCTTGAAACATGAGCCAGTCGTAGGCGATTTGATTGCCCATGTCTGTGAGGCTGTCTCGCAATATATCGACAACGTGGCTGTAATTTTCAAGCTGAACGGTCTTATCACTGTCTTTGTCCCGGGATGCGTCGGTAATTAGTAGTGTGACTTTGTCGAATGGATGAAGCAGGAGTGCGCGCCACTGTGGGATTTTGCCGTTCCTCTCTGTATCGATGTGCAGCTCGAGCTTCTCTAAAACTTCTCCACGACGCCAGTTATCCTTCTCAGCTTCAGGTATCATCGCAATCTCTGATAGAGCCTCAGCGAAGTAGTCGATATCCAGTGTGAGTGTGATGGTCCGCAGCGCCTCCCACCCCTGATAAAGCGGTATGCTGCCGGACAACTTGATCGCATGCCCATGGCCTTTTTCGAATCTCTGGGAGAATCTATCGAGATGCTTCTTCAGATGGCGAGCCGCTGCTTCCGAAAGCTCCTGTGACATGTTAGCCTAGCTCACCGCATACACTGCTTTGACGGCACCTCATTCGAGGAAAAGTCCGAACAGTTACATTGCCATCTATACTAGCATGAACGCCAAAGTTGGCGTAGCTCCAAAGTGATGTAAAATCATAGAGGGTAGGCTGTGTTCAATTCTTTTCACAAGGTGATGACAACAACATACCAAATTTGCCTGCTTACAAGCCATCATCATTGGTGGCCCACGTCCAGGCGCCCGAGGATTCTTATATCGTAACGGGGGAAGATGTCCATAAAGGAAGTCGTAGATACTCATGCGTACATCGCGATTTAGCAGGGTGAAGAACATGGCGTCCTGTACCATGGGGTTCGACGCTTGCGCTTTAGCATCCTTCATATCGACTTGCTGAAGAGAGCGGTCGCTTGTAGTCAAGGAGAGCGCGTGCTCTGTCATAGTGACTCTGTGGGTGGTTTGTTTGCTCCAAGCTTATGGTTGAGCGGTCTCGATCGGGGTGCAGCAAGCGTGGAATGATTCTGGAAGTGTGACAGGCATTATGTAGAGGTAGAGGCGCGTCAGAAGCGCGTCAGTGCGCTTTGGGACTCCTGCCTCGCTCAGGTGACGAACCAATCGATAGTGAAAGGGCGGCTCAGTCCGACCCGTTTCGGCGATGAACGCTCGTGCAGTGTTTCGAGCGATGCATCTGACGTCATGTTAGACCAGTGTTGTTGTAAAACTATATTCGTCAAAGAACAAGATCATCTAAATCTATCTTAAAGAAAGTAGGAAAAGCGGACAGTCGTATGCAACAGAATCATCCTATACAGCTATACTACCACCCACACTCAATTTTGTCGCGTTTCGTACAACTTACTCATCATCTACCGCCCCGTGCCGAACATCGTCACACAGCATGTGCCCACGCCTCATCACACACCATCGCCGCACACCACCGCCGCACACCTCTCCCACTCACACTGCTGTTCGTCTGCCAGCCACAGGTGCCGCCATTACAGCACCCTTCCTCACCCTCTCCTTCTGATGCGCCTCCCTGTGCAACTGCTCAATCTTGGCATGTAGCTCTGGTACGCCAACATCTTCCACATGTTTGCTATGATTCGGCCCATGGATCTTACGGTTTGCGTTCTTGCCGTGACTTGCACTGTTATTTACAGCGTGAACATTGGTGGCGTGCTTAGAAGCTGCAAGACCGGTATGCTTGGTCGGGGTCGTGGAAGTCGTGGCGGCGCGTCTGCTATCGCCGCGAGGAGCGGGTCTACGTCGCTGTTGGGCTGGTCGAGGGGGTTTGGGGTATGGCTTGGTGGGGGCGGGGGTGTCGTCTTCGGTGTCAGACGCCCATGAGAGCTGGGAGTGGCGCCGGATGGTGGCGTCTTTGTTTGATGTCTTCTTGGTAGCGACAGCCTTTGGGGGTGGTTTGCTATCGATCGGTGACCAAGTCTTACACTCGATGCTGGGAGACGATGGTGGCGAGGTAGAGGGACGAGTGGAGGACATGTGCACCTCACTGGATCCTGTACTGGCTTCCGAAGCGCGAGATGACTCAGGGCTGGGTGGAGGAGCAGGGGTATCGTCAAGATCGATGAGCAGATCTGATACTTGGCTTGCATGTCGAACAGATTCCTGAACTGTCGCCGGCGGAGGGGTCAGTCGTCCCGATGTAGTCTCCTTGGGAGAAGAGTTTCTCTTAAGAATACCACGCGGCAGCTGCACGTCATCATCAAGTAGATCACGCTCTTCGCTCTTCCTCGTTCGAAATGTCGAAGGGTCGGGGAAGACTCTTGCTTCCGGTATCGCACCGTCATGGTCTGCATCCTCGTTCGCTGCTAGCCTTCGCTGCATCCAGGTAGGCGGCCTGGGACCGATAGCCGACTTCTCCTTCCACCACTTCGGTATACCTCTAACGAAGCCTAGTTCACGGAGCTTCTCAATGCCGGGCATTTCGTGTTTGAACTTGCACCCGATAGCCGTCCAATCACATTCTCCAGTCTTGATCCAGTGTGTGCAGTACTCTTTCTTGGACGGATCGGGCTCGATGCCAGATGGGTGGGGCACGCGGTATCCGAGGCGCTGCGCATCTTTCTGGTAGATGGAGGCGAAGGTGTCGGTGAGTGAAGACGGGCGCTCGATAGTAGCGGTAGGGGTTGGGCGAGGTGGTTCTGGCGAGTTTACGATAGCTGGGAGCTGCTGAGATAGTCTAGGAGAGCGAGTGCCGCTCACGGGCATTGTTTGCGGCTCCGCACGTACATGATGGTCTGGTGCCAGGTACCGTGACTGCGTCGTCGTAGTGGAGCGAGGCGAGAAGCTGCTGGATGTGGGCGCGTGGATCAATAGAGCCGAAGGAATCTCGTCTGTCTCTGAGCAAAGCTTCCAGGCTCCGTCCGAGATCTGGCGATGGGTCAACTGACGTGGGATTCCTTGTAGCTGGAAAGGCAGCTGGTCTACTGGTACCAGCGGAACCATCACGCTGCCACGAAGAAGATAGTAGCGAAGACCTTCCGGAAGGGCGCAAGTGCTATAAGCTTGGGTAGTCATATTAACAAACAAACAACAAGGGAATCTCTGGATACAGATCGCTGTTATGGACACCCTTGGTGTAGTGAGTATACAAATAGATGGTTGAAATACGACTTGGAAGGAACGGTGAGAGGATGAGATCCGAACGGTTGTGTTCCATTATATTCGCGGGTGTGCGACTGTGCTCAAGACAGCAATTCGATGTCTCTACCCGACGCAAGCAGTTTGCCGGCATCTGCAACCTTACTTACATGGCCGTCAAGCCATTGCTACAAATCAGGATGTCTAGCAGTCACCGAGAGTATGAAAGAATTACCTGTGAGTTGAAGATTGCCTGCGAATCAATCAGGGAGGATACATAAGCCTACCAAGATGGGATGGGAGTAACGCGTCCTGGAAGTTTGTGATACCGTGATCTGTCGCAACCCGTGCTGCGAATAAGCGACAGACTCCGCCAGAGCGTTGGCAAGCTGTGAGGAGAGGGTGAATAATCGCAGTGTCGATGATAGGGGTTTGTCCTCGTGGCTTGGACAGCACGCAATCGGCCCTAAAACATGGCGTAACGGCTGGCGGGATGGGGAACTGCGATGTCAGCGCTTGCGATGCCAAACCTCTCGCTCTTCGCTCCTCAAAACGTCGAAGTCGTGATGCTATTGTGGCGATCGCGGTGACAATGACGAGTAGATTACAAAATTGAAAGGTCTTGAAGATGGCGTACCGCACTGCCATGTGGCCAGGCCAGGTTAACCCTTTCGCTCAACGGGTATCCCTGTGCCGATCAGCCGCGGTACGGCAATCGCCGTCCTGCCCAGACCCGCCTAACCACAACTCCAAAACATTAGACTGCTTCAACCCGCGTTGGGCCATCACGGCTTTCGGATTCGGATCTTTGCCTTGGCCGTGGCAGCGCATGCCGTGTATCATCTTTTCACAGCCTGAAGCCGCCGCTAGGAGTCTCCCTCCGCATCTCAACGGTTGGCCCTCCGGTCGGTACCGATGATGTCTGCACAAAGTCAATCTGCAGATCTACCACCTAGTCTTCCGGCAGTTCACGTCTCGACCGAACATGTCAAAAGTTACTTGCATGATATTAACCGTGTGGCTTGTCCTGAGGAGATGCCTCCGTGTTGGGGTTGGCAGCTGAGGTATGCAGCCTAAGAGGCCGCCATCGAAGTTACCGCTCTTTCGCAACGAATAGACCGTCCGGCACATCGTTCATGACTCGGTTAAGAACGCGATCTTCAATAGTGGGTCGTTGGCTTCCACTGGTCTTGCGCGGCAGGGCTTCTGGCCAGTTTCGGAGACTACGCGCCTGGGACGACTATCAACGGTCCCTATGCTCCAGGGTCTGCTAATACTGGAGCCTTCCTCGGCATCCCGTCGTTTGTCGATGAAGTTTTCTAACGCGTAGGTTACGGCCAGAAATACCTAGGTAATTCGGATGAAGGACTGTCGGTAGCTATGAGAGATCGCATCGCTATAACGGAAAATCAACCAAGCTTTAATAGCCGGAAAGCATCTCCGACATGAGCAAAGACGACCGCAGTCCCGAAGTGTTCGCCGTGGCTGCACTGTTCTTTGTGCTCACATGGACGACTGTTCTCCTACGGATCTACGTACGCGCGGTCTTGATGAAGACATGGGGAAAAGATGACTCGTACATGGTTGCGGCACTAGTAAGTTGTCACGTCTCGTGTTCAATCGGAGATTATACTGATCAAGCTTGTAGTTGACGTTCACTGTATACCTACCATGTCAGATCATTGCCGCGATGCACGGAACTGGCCGCCATCGATGGGAGTTGAGCGATAGCGATGCGAAAACAGCGCTGTTGGTTCGTCTAACCCACTCATCGCGTTATCTGACATCTGACTCGATACAGTTCTGGTACCTGTGCGAGCTGTTCTACGTGATAGCGAACTGTCTGCTCAAGTTTGCCATCGGCTACTTCTACCTTCGGGTCGCGATTGAGCGCTGGCATATCTGGGCCATCAGGATACTCATGCTAGGCACTGTACTATGCGGTCTTGTCTACTTCTTTCTAGTCTTGCTTCAATGCATTCCTAGTAAGCATCAACCAAGCGCTCGTTGTCATATTCGCTAATGGATCCAGTTTCGGACTTTTGGAACGTGCACCCCGCCTCAGACAGATGCATACACAACGGGCCAACTCTGGGGATTACTTATGCCCTCGCCGCCATCAACGCAATGGCTGATTGGGCATTCGGCTTGCTTCCTTTCTTCATCGTCTGGGGCTTGGAGATGAGGACCAAGACAAAGCTATTAGTTGCCGGTATCCTTGCATTCGCAGCAATTGGAAGCACTGGTACAGCGATCCGTATGGCATACATTCACACACTCGTTCAAGGCCCCGACTTCCTGTATGCTACCACCGACGTCGCCTTGTGGAGCACCATTGAACCTGGCATCGGCATCACCGCGGGAAGTATCGCGACACTCCGTCCGCTCGTCCGCCACTGTCTATGGAAGATGGGTCTGGCCGACGCACCTCGTGAAGAACGCGGCCGCAACTACTATCCTTCACAAGAAGGTGGTCGCATACGAAAAAAACATCGCCGCGGGTATCGCCGTAGCTTGAGCCCTTCTGATCTAGTCCCTACAATTCCTGGTACCATGACTACTATACAGATCCATGGACCTCACGACATAGACCTGGAAGAGAACCTGTCACCACCGAAAATTGTCGTCACAGATAAAGATGTTCCGGAGACACCAGAAGGTCAGATTATACACACTGTCACAGTTCAGCAACAATACGAGGGCCCTGCGAAGCTTCCTGAGGCACCTCCAAGGCTTCAACTGCGCGACAGCGTCAGACATAGCTTCACTCGCGGGAGTATTCTGAGCCCTGTATTCCGAGTGCCCGAGTGAACTCTCGCAATGAGTACCATATGTCTCACCGCCATCTCAATCATCTCAGTTGAGCAAACGGGCCACATTCTCACTTCAAGCGGTCAAAGACACCCGGCGATACGCCGTGTCATGAAAGCTATGTCTCATCGACTCACCATGTCGCGGCGCTCTGACGGACACGCGGTCCAACGTCATTAGATCAGTCGTCAGAAGAATCAAAGCGTGAGAGCATCTTAGAGCGCGGCGTCACCTGCGCGGAACACATTCACCAACGCTGGCAGTCATTCACGTCACCCACATTTCTATCTCTGCCCCGCCGCTCCTGAGCTCTCAGTCTCACCCGCGGTACCATCACAATCTCAACAGTGGCTGTTCAGCTGTAAAATCGTACTTTGCCAACACCAGGTAGCCATACTGACCCCAGTATGGCAGAAAACCCCACACCACCAACAGACACCCCCAGCCAGTCTCGCAACCCCATCCCACCAACCGACGACCCGCCACCCACCTTACCACCCAACAAAGAAATCCTCGCCTCCGCCATCCACATGACAAACACAACCCGCTTCCTCCACCTCCTCTCCCACGCAAAAGCCCTAATCACCCTTCACGGCCCCTACACCACCCTCCCCACCACATCAGTCTTCTCCCGCTCTCTCAAGCCATCCAAACCACCCAAACACCCTTCTTCTTCGTCCTTGTCCTCCTCCACAACCCTCAAATCCCTCGCCCTCACCCTCGCCGCCGCCCAAGACAGTACTTATAGCACCTACACCGCCCAACCCCCCAGCCCCACAAAATCCGACCTCGACTTCTTCACCCTCCTCTGGGACAGTTCCATCGTCGTGCTCGAAGAAATATTATCAGTAGGCGATTTGCCACAAGAGTCCTTCGGTTGGGGGGTTTATGGGATGGCGGCGGGGTACATGCATCCTCCCCCTTCTACGCTTTCTCATTCCCATGATCTGAGTCAGGAGAACATGTTCATGCGGAACAAAGAGAGGTTGAAGGATGCGCTTTGTATGATGCCGAGTTTGGAGGGGGGTGGGATGAGTAGGGGGATGGGTATGGGGATGGGAATGGGGATGGGGGGAAGGACGACGACGGAGCGCTTGACGAGGGCGAGGAGGGATATACATACTCTAGGCCATATTCTTCTGTATGAGTTTAGGAAAGGGGGGTGGAAGAGGGTGAGGTGGAGTCATGCGGTTATGGTTGCGGAGAGGTGGGTTGGGGCGTTTGGGGTAGGGAGGAAAGAAGGGGGGAAGGAAGAGGTAGCGAAGCTAGAGACGAAGAAAGGGAGTGGGAAAAAGGTTACTTTTGAGTTTCCTTGATGGCTTGGATTTGAGCAAGGGTAGTAGTTTTTTGGATAGTTGAAAGGGTAATTAATAAACGACCTAGACGTCAAGGGGGTTCAATGGGAATACGAGACAGCCCATGTCCAACACCTACCATGCAATCGCACTACATATTCAACTTGCCCCATCACCTAGCCTTTCTCCTTCCCTTTCTCTCCCACAAGCTTGCCTTCCTACTCCTACTCCTTCCCCTCCTCCCCGCCAACCTTCCCCTTCCCCAGCACAGCCAACCTCTCCGCCACCTTCTTAACACACGCCTTCCTCTTCCAACACCCGCGATACCACTCATCCAACTTGGCAAATCGTGCCTCCTCCCAGCCCTCCCACTCCCCAACCAACCCATGTACAACGGGCCAAACAAACGCATCCGCAACACTAAACCTACTCCCCGCTACAAACGGTCCTCCGTTCCTCTCTACAGTTTCTTCTAGACGCGCTAGGAGGTTCTGTAAGGCGAAGTTGGTGGTGGTGGTAGTAGGAGTACGAGTAGTAGGAGTAGAAGTAGGAGTAGTATCCCCCCGTATTTCTCCACTCCCCTCGGTTCCTCCACTTCTCCGCGTATTCTGCCGATTCCGCCAAACCCCCAAGATCTCCTCCGCTAATAGTATAACCGGAAACGCATTCGCGCTCGCCAAATTCGCAGAATGGCTTTTATCGAGGGGGTGATATCGGTCTAGATACAGTAATATTCCCATCGCGCCATGAATCTCTGAATGCTGAACGTCGACATCACGGAACATGATCTGTCTGTCCCGTTCAAACGACGAATCTAGATCCGGTGCTTCAACAACCGCATACGGCACTTTCGCTTCCGCTAGACAGATAAGCACCTGATCATCCTGCACACTGTCATTCGACAGGAAAAGCAGCGGAGTATCTTCACCGGGCGGCTCATGGAGGTGCAAAACATCAAAGCCCTCACCATACCACTTCTCCCACTCAAACTCGCTCCCGTGGTTCTCGCGGCTAAAAGCAGTAATGAGGCGTTTCGTCTCCGCCTCGTCATTCGCAACGATATCAGCGGCGTCGCGTTGCGTTTTCGAGGTTGCGCCCTGGCCCCAGATGATGGTGCTGCGGCAATCGAGGTGAGTTGCTATGTGGCGGAACGTCAGACTGATGCGGATGCCGGCGTACGCATTTTCTGTGTCGCTGCGTTCGGCGGGCAGGCGCTTGTCGGGTTGGATGCCGTGGAGCCATTTTGCGTTTGAGGCGAGGCCGAGGGTGAACATGGAGTTATGGGGGAGGTGGACGCGCTGGGTTGAGCGCTCGGTAGTACTACTTTCAGTATCTTCTGGTGTTGATGACGGGGCTTTCTTGGTGCGCAGCCGCATGGTGCGTTGCGAACCGAAGCTTACGTTGACGATGGAGGAGCCTTTTGCGATGTCGAGGGTTTTGTCAGAGTGCTCGGAGATGAAGTCGTTGCCGGAGCGGTAGAGTTGGATTAGCACGTGGTTTAATGGGTGACCGACGAGTGCCTCGGCGCGCTTGCGTATGACGTGGACTTTGGGGGAGAAGCGCAGCAGGGGCAGGGTTTGGTCGGATGGGTGCCGGTATACGGGCATTGAGCCGTCGTCGCCAAAGGCGCCCTGGCAGCATACTAGACGGGGTACTTCGCCTTGTTGGTGGAGCATCTTTTGCCATCGGACTTCGTTGTAGAGTTGGGTGAAGATGGTGTCTTTGAGTGGTTTTGCTGGTTCGGTTGGGTGGAAGTAGTCGGCGGGGAAGAAATCGTGGATGATGCGTGAGTCGCCTTCTGCAATGTGATCGCCAGGCCCTAGGACGGGGAACGTTGCGAGTGACTGCAACTTGGGCGGCTTACCCATCGTTGCGGCTTTTGTAGGTGTCTTTGTTGATGATGGCGAACTGGCTTCTGGCGTGCTGACAGGAGGTTGTTCTGGCCGTGCAGCTTCTACAGTCGGTAGCTTGATTTCCCTGTCGTCTTGCTTCGGGGTGGTTGGTGCAGGCTTTGCAGAACTGATGGACCCTCTCTTTGACTCAGACCCCGACTCAGACTTTGGTGCCCTAGTGAGTGACATGCGCACGCGATCCGAGAGTTCAGTCAACCTGTTTTTCTCCTTCTCATCACCAGCCTTCGCGGACAATGCAGGTACCGAGCTAGCATTCTTCAGCATATGCTGCTTGCTATCCTTCTGCCGCAAATCTGCAACACTCCCAGCTTTTGCAATCTTGGACATTCGTTGAGGCTCAGCCGATGCGGACTGTGGTATGACTGTCGGTGCCGTAGTGATTGGCGGAGATGGATCTTTCGTAACCTGGTTCGCCGTCGTGCTCGGCTCGCCATTCGCCTCTTCACCATCTTCCTTTGATGCTTCTCTGTCCTTCGCTTTCTTCTTGCTCTTCCTATTCTTCCTCATTCGAACCTTCGACTTGACAAGTTCCGGCTTGTCCCCTTCTGTCTTATCTTCCGCGGCACCTGCAGCACCCTGTGCAGCCCTCTTCTCTATGATGTCCCTTGCGAGAGACAATTTAGCCATACGCTCCTCCATAGTCTGCTCGCTCTTCGCGCCATCCGCAGGCGCTGTTGTCTTTGTCGCAATTATCGTCGTATCCTCCTTGAGTATCTCTTCACTGTTGACCAAATACGTGCTGAAGAAATCTTCCATGCGCTTCAGCGCCAGTTCGTGTCGGTTTTCCCTGCGGAAGCCCAAGCAGTCTTCTATGACATGAATCTTGACACCATGCCGCGCTGCATCGATGACAGTCGCAAGCACAGAAACATTGGTGATGCATCCGCAGATGAAGAGTTCGGTAATGAGTCTTGCGCGCAGTGTTATGAGCATGTCGGTGCCCTGGAAGGCGGAGTAATTGGTCGTTTGTATCACAACGTCTGCAGGTAGCTCGATCTGCTTCGCGATAGCATCTGCAAACTCGGCGCCACGCGTGTCGGGCACGCATGCTGGCGTTCTCTTCTCGCTCTTCAACAGGAACAGCTCGTCGTCTTCTTCAGCCTTGGCTTTTGCGACTTCCTTTGGCAGCGTCTTTCGTCGTGCTGACACGCGTTTCAGCAGGGCTAGCGCGCGTTCCTTGTGTTTTGAGGATCTGGAGGGCGCTGGCAGCGACGCTGCTTCCTTGGCTAACTCTTCCTCAGCTTCATTGTTGTTTTCCTCGCCGTCGAGCAGCCCTTCTACGACAAGCGTGTCTCCCGCACCCGTGTCGGCGCCAGTCGCGATGCGATCGGCTTCGTACAGCGTCTGGACCCAAATGACATTGCCGCTGAGCTCTCTGAATTTCGGAATCAAAGTCTGGATGCGCTCCAGAAAGCCCGTCTGGGTGTCAACGGGAAGTCGTCCTTCTGATGTCACAAAGTCGTTCTGGAGTCCAACGAGAACAAGGGCTTGGTGTGTTTGGAATTTGGGCTGGTTTTGGGACACAAGGTCCATCAAAGACGCCATGTTGGAGTTCATCGTGTCAGGAACGCGAACGGCTAGGGTTGAACGCGGAAGCGACAAGTCTTGGCATCAATGCTAGTGAGCGGGAGATTGCTAGACAAGGGCTTCCTCAATACGAAAGCGAGCGGAAGGCAATGGTTAGGGTGCTGGTGTTCTACTTTTTGGACGACAGCTGATATTTGATCACATGGTGCAAGCAGGGTAAGGCCAAGAGGGCGTTCAGTAGATTGAGTCAAGTCGCCGCATCTTCGGGCCATGCAGGGATAAGCATTGGAGGAACGCGTCCCGGATGTGTTGCGCAGGGCGTTGAAAGCTCCAGCAGGCAGGATTGGTAGTGTTTTGGAGGTTTCGACGGCCGCTAGATGGCCCCTCGCCCATCCCCGCCACCATTAGCGCGGGGCAAGGACGGTACTTCTATGTTTGCGCCCATCTGCGACCGCGGACATGCTCACTCCGCAAGGGCTTTCCTCTCATATCCTCCACCATGTACATCTCGACGACCGCATCTCCGCGCACACGTTTGTCTGCGCTGCGGCTTGCCCCCGGACTTTTTGTCGGACGGCATAGCGCACAAGGCAGGAAGCCTAAACGGACCTCATTCTTCACCGCCAAACCACCTGATGCTCTGGATGGTGCTCGGAAACATGTTCCAGCATGTAAAGTCCCGACGTCGCTCTTGCTGGGCCCAGGATACTGGAAGCAAATTCTTGCGCTCACTTGTTACTGAAAAAGGATGTGATCTTCCGCGAACCATCGGCTTTGGATGTCTTTGCTGCACTGCCGTTACTCGTGGCGCTTCTGGTACCTTGCTTCTTCGCGGGTGTTGACTTCTTCGCAGGGCTTTTGGTAGGCGAGACAGACGCGGTCGGTTTGTTGCGCTTGTGCTGTGGCTCAGAATCTGCGGTGCCATCGGTCACGTCGTCGTGCTCCCGTTTGATGCCTTTTGGCGACGTCGCTGGAATGGGCAATGGCGCGTTATCTTCGGTACCTTCCATGCGGTTGGTTGTGACACGCGTCTCATCAGCGTCGTGCTCGACCTTGATCTGGCTCTTCTCGTCTGTCGAGGCTTCCAGATCATGTTGTGCTTTGTCGACAGATTGCTCCTCCGCCTTCGTCTCAGCAGCCTTTCGTTGGTTGCCGAAGAAGTTGGCAATGTTGTTCTTGTTGGCTGCGCTGTTGATTGGCACGAGAAAGGACGGCGAGTTGTTGCCAACTTTGCCTACGTCTTTGCTGACCGGGTAGCACTCCAACTCGCCCTCGTATGGTTTCAACAGCGACTGCAGTTCTGTGCTCCACTCTGTGCGAGTCGGGTCCAACCAGGTTCGGATAGCCTCTGAGCCGTTGTCGAAGATGACGGGCATGCGGTCGTGCAGAAAGCTGAGTTGCTTGTTCGAGTCGGTGGTGATGACGGTGTAGGTGTAGAGCTTCTCGCTCGAGTCCTCGAACTGCACACAGTCCCATAGTCCAGCGAAGCACATGAGCTTGCCGTCCTTGCGCTTGGTAAAGTGTGGCAGCTTCTCCTTGCCCCCGTTCTTCTTCAGCCACTCATAGAAGCCCTGTGCCACGATGATGCAGCGCTTCTTCTTCTTCATGGTCGTCCACATGCCGCGGTCTTCGAAGAGCGAGTCGTCGCGGCAGTTAATCGTCTTCATCTTGGAGCCGTAGTCGGGGTTGCGCTTCGTCCAGAATGGCACGAGACCTGTCGCATGCTGTCAGTGACGTACGAGGTCATAGGTGGATGTGCCTACCCCATTGCATAGACTGCAGTTTGTATTTGGTATCTTCCGTCGCGCCTTCCTCCTGGCCGCCAGTCTCCGGACCGTCCGCTCGGTATACAAGCCCATGATAGCCTGGGGCGAAGTTGTAGCTTTGGCGCACGTTGCTGTCGTCGTCGGGTGCCTCTTCGACTGGCATCTGCGACTGTTCGAGCTGCTGGCGGACCTCCGAAGGCCTCTGGTATCTTTGTCAGCTGTCACATTGTATTTCGCGTGACCACATATCCTCACCAAGGCCAGCGCATACCGTCCACACATGATTAAAGAGATTCAGTGCATCGTGGTGAGGTCTACGGGCAACGCGATGCGGCGCGTTGGTGATTGGCTACGTCATGACGAGCCTCAGCCCTACGCGGAACGCACGCGACGGGCACTAAAAGTTCGTTCCGTCATGCACTCGCTCCACCAGCTGCCAGATGCCATCGCCCACATCTTTTTGCCTTTGCCCGGCGCACCATGTTGAGCAGGACGGCCCCCCGCGCCGTGCCCCGAACGAGCGCAATCGCACGCTGCGAAGCGCAAACCCCGCTGATACGATGCCGGCGGCCAGTACAGCAGCACCTGGGGCGGCGCTATGGCTCCACGATGCGGGAGCAGTTCCGGGAGCAATACCACAAGAGCCCCGTGCTGTTCCCCTTTGCGATTGGGTCCATTGCCCTCGTGGCCGGCATCTGCGTCTTGTACATACCGTGGTACTACAAGAACGTCATCATCAAGCCCTACCACAACTTCCCTGAGCCCGTCGCAAAGAAGCTGCGCAGAGCCCTCTTCTACAGCCGCGGCCAATGGCTCGACATCCGCGAAGCCAACAAGCACTTTCGCCAGGCGCTCGCCCTCGCCGACGAGATGGGCATGGATCCTTTTAGCGACGAGATCATGGGCGTCAAGTACACCATCGCTGCGCTGTTTGAGGATGCGGGATACTACAGTTTGGCTATCGATGTGCTCGAGATTATGCGCAATGATTGCCAGAAATGGGTCGACGAGTTCTCGGATAGACATTGGACAAATGGGAATAGGAGCAGGGTGAAGAAGAACATGGTGCAGATCAATCTGAAGCTGGGCCAGCTCTACGACGTGAGATATGTCAACGAGCCTGAGAACGGCGAGAAGCGACTGGTCGAGGCTGTGGAGAGCGCATTGAAGGAACAACAACGGCGGGAGAAGGACGGTGTCAAGAACGGCGAGGGGCCTTGGCTCACCAACGACGAGATGGGCGGTGTACTCGAAGGTAGGCAGCTACATGGCCGAATACCGCTTATGGCATGCTAACACAACTCAGCCCTCGGAACACACTACGAGCAATTCGACTCGCACTACCTCGCCGCTCCCCTCTTCGTCAAAGCCCTCCAACTCTGTCCACCAACCTCATGCCACAGCGTCGTCCTGAGTACGTCCCCACACCCCTTCCCATCCATCCCGACTAACCACCCCCAGTGAACAACATATCCACCTGCCTCGCGCAACAAACCCCGCCCACCTCCTCCAACGCAATAACCATGTCCGACGCCCCCACCTCCTTCCCCGTTACAAACTCCGCGCCGCGCTCCCTCGCCATCGAGCAAGCACGGCAATGGGCAGAACGAGCCCTCGCCCTCTCCGCCCAGATCAAGTCTTCTTCCTCTGAAAGGAACGAAGAGTGCGACATGGGCTGTGCCGTCGCGACGCATAATCTCGGCGAGTTCTTGGAAATGGAAGGGAAGATTGGGGAGGCGAGGAGGAAGTATGAGGAAGCAGCGCAGTTGGCGAAGAAGATTGGGTTTGGCGAGGGGGTGGCGAATGCGAGGGCGGGGGTTAAGAGGTGTAAGGGGGTGGAGAGGGGGGATTGATGATTGGGGGAGGGGGTGTGCTGAGAGGTTGTAGTATACTCGTGGATATATTGGAAGATGTTGCGAGGGTTGATGAATGTTGTATAGCGAGCGCGATGAGCCGCTGCGTTCATGTGCCGGGACGTAGACCGCTTGGACGGTAGGTTTAGAAATACCTTTGAACTACAAGACCACAGCGAAGCTTTATTCTCACCTCACCGTTTCCACCCCATTGCGATTCCATGCCAGCGCGTACCCACTTCTCATCCATCAAATCCCCTACCAACACAACCTCGCCCCCTTCCCACCTCTCCATCTCCGTCTCAGTCGCTTGGAGCGATCGCTTCAGTCTCCCTTACGTGCTTCATCATCCGCCGGATCGTCCAAAGACTCATTACCCGAATCATCCGTGATTTCCGGATCGTCCCACACACTCTTCTGCTTTCGCGCAGCCTGCTCATGCATCTCCCTTTTCGAAGCACTTGTGGCAGACTCTTTTGCGATCTTCAACTGGCGTGCGCGCTCAACTGCTTCGTGCTTTTGGGTAATAGCAGCGTCGCGTGCATCAGCTAATTTGAGCTCGTCTTCCGACAACAGTCTGTTCTTGTGAAGTTTGCGTATGTCGCCCGTGTAACCCAGAGGTGGGATATCAGCCGCATTGAGTAGAGCTGTGACTGCGGCGGCTCCATCTCTGCGCGCAGACTTCTTGTGCCAGTCTTCGACGTTGATCATCTCGCCCTTATTTTCGTACTCGTGTTGTACGTCCTTGTTGAAGAACTCGTGATCGAAGCCCGGGCTAGTCTGCCTCTTGGTCCTATCCTTGAGAGCCTCGACTGCGCCGTCAATCCATGTGTTTTGAGAAGGCTTCTTGTTCTGCGCTTCCTGATGCGCCTTGATTGCCTCTTTATTGGTCGCGGGTAGTTCGGTCCACGTGTAGCCTCGAGCCTTGAGATCGGCAATGACGTCTGGATGGGTGGGTATTGGTTCGGTCTCAACGGGCTTAACAACTCGCGGCTTCGACTTCGGCTCGGACGGTTCTGTCGCTTTCGGTGGATCAGTCATCGTCTTCTTGGAGGAGGTCGACTTTTTGGTGCTTTTCTCTGGTGGAGGCGGCGAGGAAGAACGGGCGCTTGACCTGCCCGAGCTGGCCTTACTAGTACTCCGCGTGTTTGATGCGGGATTGTTGGTTGTAGGCTTGGTTGTCATAGGCTTGGTTGTCGTAGGCTTGGTTGTCGTCGGCTTGGTTGTCGTGGGCTTGGTGACTGCAGGCCTGGTGGTTGGACGTTTGCTTCCTGGAAATTTGCTGGCTGTGCTGGGTTTAAGCTTAAGCTTGACTATCAGACGCTTAGCTTGTTGTTCGCGCTCAAGGATCTCCATGCTTTCAAGTTCTTCGTCCGTGTCAGGTGGTGTGGTGAGAGTAGAAGTGTCAGAGTCATCACCTTCGTCTTCTTCCTCAGCTTGCTCTTCATCTTCTTCACCTTCATCCTCAGCTTGAGCTTCATCCTCTTCTTCTCCATCATCTTCATTAGTAGCAGCAGCAGCGACAGCAGCAGCAGTATCGACAGCCGACTCCCACTCTCCTTTAATATACTGTTCGATTTCGTCGTCCGTGATGTCAGGCATCCAGGCGTCCTCCTTCTTGCTCTTCTTTAGCTTAGGCTTGAGTGCTTTCATACGATCTCGCAGGCCACGGAGGTTAGTATCAGCACGGTTGAGGTACGAATTTAGCCCACCCGGGGGCCTGGTACCCAGAGCCTCTTCCATTGGTTTGCCGCTCTTGTCAGGAATGTCAGTGCGGCCCTCGAAGTAATCGTTGAAAGCCTGGTATATGAGCTCGTTGTGAGGCGCCACAAAGGTATCCGTCTTCCCAGTCGCAGCCTCTAGGAGCTTCTCGTGGAACAGCTCGAGATAGGCGGTCTCGAATGGAGCCCATGGTGTGTGAGTGACCTTGGGAGTGAACTTCATGTTTTGGACGAATATTTGGTTGCGCCACTTGTTGATGTCCCTGATGTGGTCTTTGTTATTCCAGTCAATGTCTTTCGCTGCCCTCCTGTCGTACTCAAAGGTTCGATCCTTCTCGTTGTTGTCATGTCGATGGTGGAACTTGAGTGTTAGTCGCTTTGGCTGGGCCTCCCCAACGACGAGCGTCGAGCGCTTGTCACCACCTAGAATCTCCCATTCAAAGTTGGCGTCTTCGTCTGGGGCTTTGACTGCTTTTGATCCGGGATGCGCCGGCTTCCTCGGCTTCTTGCTGGTACTGTTTGCAGGTGGTGTCTCACTACCGCCCTTCTTGTTTCGTGGAGACGTGCGTGTAGGAGTGGCACCTGTCTTGGCTTTCTTCGCAGGCTTTGGCGAAGTGGGTGCTTCGTTCTTTCGCTTCGTAGACATCGCGGCGGTACTGTTGGGTGGATCGTTACAGTTGATGATCTGAGCAGCGGGTATGAACTTGAAACCAACGGATGGGAAGCGGGGTATAAAGCCAATGGAGAATCGACCAGAGTGACTGAGAAGCCTAACTTCTTGCTGTGGACCTTTCACGATTCGCCATTAGACCCTTGTGAAAGGTGTGAAGAACAGTGTAGCAAATTCCAACGGGGGTCAAAGCTCTCAACCGAAAAGAACGACATAGTGAAGGAGACCGTTTATCAGTCATTGTATAATTCGAAGCATTGTACTGGCCCAGCCATGGTACTTTCTTTGGAAGACGATATATCGAGACGCGGACAGAACGCTTTGTGGTTTTCTGGTTGGTGTATATAGGTGCAAATATCAATGGTGAGTCGCTTAAGAAGGTAAGGTAATGACAACTCTGCGCGGTGCACAGCTTTTATCTTTTTCGGCATGAGAGAGATTTGCGAAAAACACAAGCTTGCTGGTGTCAGTCGGTTGTAGTAATGCTCACGTGGACCAATCTGAAAACTGTTCTTAGCAAAGTGCAAGACACCACGAGCAGGAGCATACTAGGATGTAACAGTGAAGAACGAGCACGTTGGCACTATTGAATAGAGTTCTACCACGTCCAGCAGTCGCTGTAGCCGCTAGATAACATGGGTTGTAATATTCTACCAGCACATGTCGAAGGTTTCGATCACGGTAGTGGTTGTCGGAGATAACTGTAGACGAGCATCAGCGGAGAATACCACTGATCGTCGCGATCCAGAACCTAGACTACACCAGTACATCTAGTTCGGCGCGAGAGACGGAAAAGATGGGCAGTTCGTGTGGAGCAACTGTGCCGTAGCAAGAGGCGGTCTGCAGGGGCACTCGAGTAGTCTCTTGTTAATCCCTGGAGGTGTTGAGGTACTATTACCACCCGTCCCCGTTAAGCGATGCCAAGCACGACGGAGAACGCTGCCGACTCAAGAGGGCATGGGAGAAGTGCAATCGCTCGATGCGGACGGAGGGGGTTGGAGGGAGGGAGGTCTTGGTGAGGAGGATGCGGAGTGACGGCGGCGGTGATTGGCTCCGGCGCCGAAATTAGCGTGGGCGCGCATGTTTACGTCGCGTGTCCCTCGTGCACGCCATTTGCGCGTGCATGGCTGTGACAGCTGCCAGTGGCAGCGTCGTGACATCAGCGCGCCCTCGCGCAATCAGTGGCATCAAGGGCTCGATCCATAGGAAAGGCGGAGGTGAGGTCGGTGTAGGTGGGATGCGGGGCCAGGGGCAGCAGCTGGTCCCGCCGTAAATTAAGCAGCAAAGGCGAGTGTGGACCCTGACCAAGAGGGTCTAGCTGGCTGCGGGCCTAGTCCAGGGCCTCCTTGATGCTCCTTTCGAAGGCCGTTGGGGAAATCATTCCCTCTTTTGCGGTCCGTCGCGCTCTTTTCGTGCTGCCGTGAGCTGTTGCGCCGTCGCTCTGACTTTCTTCTGTTTGCATGAATGCCGCCTGCAGAGTAATACCCAGAGAGTCACAGCGTGCACGACTCAAGCCGGCGCCAGCATACTAATTCCACTCAAGTGAAACACGCTCTACACCAGCACCACCGAACCGAGCGCCACAGGTAAACAGGTCTGTTCTTTCTACCTGCCGCGGCGGAGAGCAAATTTCCGCTCCGTCATATCGAACCACCGTGAAGACAGCAGACATGTCCAGCGGAAGCATCACCATGGAGGTGAAAGAAGAAGCCGTCGAGCGCGCGCCCAGGTCACACGTGGACAGCTCGCCGCTGCCGACAGACTCGATGGTCACAGTGCCCCTCTCCGAGACGGACGGCAGAACCCCAGAGGAAGAGGAAGGCGCGAGGGAATCGGTGATGCGGCCAGAGATTATAGTTGAGGAGCGAAGAGCATCATCACGAACCAACTCAACGGAAATCCGCAATGCCTTCGGACACCGCGCCAGCCAATCCAGCGTCGACACGCCCGCCCCGACCAGCCCTACCATCTCAGTGCGGGACACCGACGCACCCGTCTCCCCCAAGACAGCAGCGCCAGACTGCAGGGGGCGCCGTACTAGCAATGGCTCGGGAAAAAGCGAAGAGGTCGACTGGGCTGAGCTAGAGAAAAAGGAAGAACAGGAGCCCGAGGGCGAGGAGGAGGTGTGTAGCCCGGCCCCTGTGTGAACAACGAATACTAACATATCTAGGCCATGGCCCTGCTGCTCGCCCGACTGGAGCAGGAGAACGAAGCCATCCTCTCAAACTCAAAGTCCAACATGAAGGTCGCCCGCGCCCGCAGCCAGTCCCGGCCCCCCTCCTTCAACCAGCTCAAGCGCCTCGTGGCGGATGACACCGCCACCATGCGCTTCTCCCAGCTGCCCTCGCCGCCCCCCATGACCGAACTCGAGTTCTGGGCTGCCCTCGTACGCGACTACCCGCAGACCGTCCACAGACTGCCCACGCTCTGCTTGAATAAGATTCGGGGGGGCATACCAGCGCCGCTGCGGGGCGTCGTCTGGCAGAGTGCAGCTGGCTCGAGGGAGAAGCTGATCGAGGACCAATACGACTCGCTGTGCGGAGAGTCGAGTCCGTACGAGAACATCATCAACAAGGACTTGGGACGCAGTTTCCCTGGTGTGGAGATGTTCAAAGACCCTGAAGGCGAGGGGCAGAAGATGCTCGGCCGCGTGCTCAAGTGCTTCAGCTTGTACGACCACAAGATTGGCTACTGCCAGGGTCTTGGTTTCCTCGTTGGCCCGCTGCTCATGCAGATGGGCGACAAGGAAGCCTTTTGCGTGCTCGTGAGGTAGGCCATCGCACTTCCCTCACAACGTCAGCGACTAACAACACCAGGCTCATGGAAGACTACGATCTGCGCTCGTGTTTCCTGCCGGACCTCTCTGGCCTCCATCTCCGCATCTTCCAGTTCCAGAAGCTGCTCCACCAACACATGCCTCAGCTAGCCCAACATCTCGACGATCTAGAAGTGCAGTCCGCATATCTATCGCAATGGTTCCTGTCTTTCTTCGCTGTCACATGTCCGCTACCCATGTTGTTTCGCATCTACGACGTACTATTTGCCGAGGGCGCATCCGAGACGATCATGCGGGTAGCCCTCGCGCTAATGAAGCGCAACGAGCAAAAGCTGCTGTCCCTGAGTGAGTTCGAGGACGTGATGCAGTTGCTTTTGGGGCGCCAACTCTGGGACCCATACGGGCGGAACGCGGGGTCGGCGGATGAATTGGTCGGAGATTTCGTTGGTTTCACAAACGACGTGACGCGCGAAAGGTTGCAGGGATTGGAGCAGCAGTACAAGGAGGCCCAGGAGAAGGATTCGTCCAAGCAGCAAGTCCAGAAATCTGCCACGAGCTTCCTGGGCCGCCTGTGGGGTCCCTCCAACTCTTCGACCAAGTCCGTTTCACTCAGCCCGGGTCTCTCCGCGCCTTCACGCCCTGTTAGCTTCCTCAGGCGCTCGGCGTCCAAGCAGAGTCTCGCCTCGACACTCAACTCTACGGCCGAATCCGATGCTTCTGCTGCGACACAAAGTACAGCCATGACGGATATTTCGCGCGCTTCGAATGGCGACGCGCTGTCGATGAAGTCAGGCCACGGCTCCATGGCCATGGGCGCATCGTCCAAAGACCGAGACCTACACTATCAAATCGAGCAACTCCTCATGTCGGTTTCCCAACTGCAACGCCAAAACAGCGAACTCGAAGCCGCCCTCCAAAAGCAGCGCGAAGACCGCAAAGAAGACCACCGCATCGTCCGCACCGTCGTCGACAAAGTCCGCAAAAAGACCACCACCCTCGCCGCACCCTCAACCCGTTCCTCGCGCCGCCGCACAACAATTACCTCCGCAACCACACTACCCCCTTCATCCTCCGATGACGCCGCCTCCACCCCCGAACTCACAGAAGAAGCCTCTGAAATCGTCGAAACGCTCGAATCCCGGTTTCCTGCCGCCACACTCCACCACCGCGCCTCCTCCATGTTCGAAACAAAAGCCCTCCTCCGCGACAACTTGTCCCGCACGAAAGAGCAACTCGCCAACGAGACCCTGCGCGCCAACGCCCTGGCCCGCGATCTTTCCGACCGCGACGCAGAATTGCAAATCGCACGTGACGCGCTGAAGGATACGAGACACAGGTTGCAAGATAGCTACAACCAAAACCAGCGCCTCGAGAAAAACATCCAAGAACTAAGGCAGAATGCGCGGAAACAGTCTGCGGCTGCGAGTTGGACGGGCGTGGATCATAGTGGTGGGAATGCGCCGGATACACCGCCCACACTATCGCGTTCTACAACGAGTGATTCTATCAACACGAGCGGGTTAAGGGAATTACGGCTGGGTAGAACGAACAGCCAGAAGAGCGAAAGGGGTTATTATAACTCCCCCGCGCCGCCGGTCCCGTTTTCCAAACGAAGCAGTTCACTGGCTACACAATCGGTACTCGCGACTGAAAACAACACACCCGCCGACAGCGAAGCTCTTCTGTTGGAACTTGTAAACGCCAAAACGGCGGAGGCAGTCGCGAGACAGGAACTCGAGGAAATGAGGAGTAGGTTTGAGGGGATGAAGCGTGTTATGAGTAGCGGTGGAGCGAATGGAGGAGGGGGAGGGGGGTATAGTGGGAACGGATCACCGATGTCAGGAAGTCCCTTCGCGACGCCTACCCAAACGCCGGCTGTGACGCCTAGTCCTGTCCCTAAAGAACCGGCAGCGGGGACGGGGGGAGGATGGGGGTGGGGAGGGTGGAAGAGGACGGTTAGTAGTAATGCGGCGGGGGGCTCTTAGGCTGGGCTCTTTGATAGACGCTGATGGGTGATGGGATATGGAATGAAGGGGAGGAAGGTGAAGGTTTGAGGGAGGGGATGTTGATGTTGGTGTACAGTGTATATACACTCATACAATCTGGTATTCGAGACCAGTACCACGCCTCCTCTCGAGATATAGAGAGAGGGACTTATGTCTTCTTGGGCTTCTTCTCTGCCACGGGTGGCAAGAGAATGGATGGCCGTATTATACACAATGGGTTTAATGTCAACATTTACATTTTCTCTTCATGAATACCCATCTTCTCCGTTTCTCTCTGTCTTTCCATCAAAAAAGTAAGAAATTACGTGCTTGATTGGGATGGTGTTTGGGGGCGGAGCACATGAACGAAGATTCTAAGAGAGTTACGTGTGCTAGAGAAGATGTTGGGTCGGGTCGCAGAGCAAAGACTTTGAGCGGCGGTACAGGATGTAAAGGCGTGACCCATGAGGCTGCCGGATTGGTCGGTCCAATGCTAGGGATAACAATGAAATCTATCTTGCGCTATGACTCGTTGCGATCACGTTCGTGCGATACGTGAACTATCTCTTTGTTACTGATAAAGCCCCCGCGTATCAGAAACTACCGAAAGTTGACATAATGGGACAAAGCAAAGGCTGTGACCTTGAAAACAGGTACATTGCCGTTGCCGTCCTCGAGACTCGAAAGACTCATCGCCATACACGATAACCCCACACCACTTGATAACACGAGCTCGACCGAGGTGCTTGCCGCGATGGTTCGAGAGAGCGCAAGACTAAAGAAGAAGGCGGCTGACGAAGCTGCTGCTGCGAATACGACTCCGCAAGTTCTTCTCGTCAATCCCACTCTCCTAGCAAACTGGCCCGCTCATCCGACGACGCCAGCAGAGTTCAATGCATGGATGGTCGAAACCAAGGCTGCGCTGCTGAAATGGCTGAACGAAGCCGCTGCGCAGGCTCGAGATCCAGATATTAAGGATAAGATCGACCATTACGAGAAGGAAGCTAGGGAACGATGGCAACCATTCGAAGAGCAGACTGATGTAGAGACGGGCGAAATCCACGATCCAATACGGCGCGCGGTTATGGAAGAAGCTGTGATTGCAGAGAGGAAGAACTGCTCAGAACTACACAAAACACACGAGACATGGAGGAAATTTGTTGAGTATCGGCATGCGCTACAAGCTTGGGAGGACTTATTGTACTACCAAAATGTGTGGAATAGAAGGTATTATGTACCCGGGAAGATATACTCAGAAGACCCGAAAGGGAAAAAGGGCCCAGCATCACTAGAGACATCCAACGAGAAAGCCAAAGGAGAGGGCGACAAGCCAGGAGAAAAAGCCGCCAAAAAGCCCAAAGCCAAATCCAAATCTCAAGACGCCCCCGTGACAGGTACCCCAAAGCAAGAAAGCACGAACCGAACAGATATCAATTTCCACAACCAGCCCTTCGAGGGTATCTATAACGGTTGGGTATGGAACATAATCGCCCTGTACCAGCAAGCTCGTCTCGGTTATCGTAAGCGCATCCCCGCTGTTGTAGCCCCCCAGGATGCGCATCGATACTCTCAGCCGCCCCGTGGTACCATACCACAAAACACACCAAGCTATCAACATCGGCATCGCCACCTGGAAGAGCGATTTCCTCGCAGAAAAAGGCGACAGATTGATATCAACGAGGTCGAAGAACGGTGTCGCAGAAAAGCGGAGCGTAAGCTTGATATCCGACTCGAAAGAACCCGTAGGATGCAACCGATCACATGGAGCATCGACGAAAAAGCCTACGAAATCATGAAAGCCGAGAAGGAGAAGGAATTCATCATAAACCTACTGACCACAAATCTCCTACCCGAAGACCACAAAACCCACCACGGCAGTCTAGAAACAAGTTTCAACTGGCCCACATCCTTCGACACCCCCGTCTCCACCATCCTCAAGACCACAAAAACGCGAGACCACGTCTACGAACCTCTCAGCGACCCCGAGCACGACCCCTCCGACCCCAAAAGCAGAAAGAGGTTTCTGGGCTACAAGAAAGACGAAAACGGAGAGCGTATCAAGAAAATCGATAGCCGACCACACTACCAGCGCGAAACAATCATGCAAGAAGGACTCGTCTTCGAACACCAAATGCGCGCGGATGGCACAGTAAAAGGCCGGGACCGCAACGGCGAATGGATTGGAGATTGGGTACCGGGTCAGATAGCTACCCCCGTTTGGGTTTACGACGAAGACGGTGAGCGTATCCGTTTACCACCGCGATATGAATCGAGGAACAGATTTTCTACTTTCCTGGTCAAGGAATCTCATATTAGGGAGACGCGGCGCCAGCGACATGAAGATGCAGAAAGGGAGTATGAGTTATCGGATGATGAGGATGAGGGATGTGTGAAATCGAATGCCAACTTTTCGAGATCGGGGAACCTGAACCCCGATTTGTTGAGTAACCCTTGGGCTTCGAATTTTGATAGTGACGGAGAAGGCGAAGGTGTTGGCCATCCTGGTGATAGCGATGATGACGAGAGTGACGATGATGGAGACTTATTTGCGGAGTCGTATAGAGAATGCTCAGAGAGTCCTGCGACGAGGCAAGCGCGGTTGTTGTTGGAGGATCTGCGAGAGAGGTTTGGTGTGCTTGAGAGCTGGACTGTGGAAACTGTTAGGGATTTGCAACGGCATGGTGATGATGGTTCCGTGGTTGTTGGAGATGAAGAGATTATAGATTGGTATAAGAGCAACGCGGAGGGGTCGTAGGTCGTAGGTATGATTGAAGTTTGCTGTCTCCTTCAAGTTGGTGTTACCTGTGTCTTGTGAGCTCGACCAGACCTGATACTCGCCTTTCAGCAGCGCACGCCGAACGATGTAGTGAAAGACACGAATTGGTGGCGCTAATCCGTTGCGTGCTCGAAAACTCAAGGTAGCCACCGCGCATTGACCATCACAACAGTGAGTAGTCGATAACTATTTGCTACAAGTTAGCAACCACCTACAATCAACTCGATAAAGACACCCGCAACCCTTTGTCGCATTCTAAGCGCCTTACTTCAACACGAAGCGTCCGCCAAAGCTCTTCGCATAGCCATCATGAATGACATCATCCTACCAGATGCGGCGTCTCCAGAGCAAAGCCGCCCCCAGGACACGTTCACACCCACTCAAGGTGTTCCCAATGAAGCCGCGAGCACTCCAATGAGCATTGAAGATGCGGTGGCCACAGAAGAAAGCCGCCTCCAGGACGCATCTACACCCACTCAAGATGTTCCTGATGAAGCGGCGCGCACTTCGCGCAACATCGAAGATGCGGCGTCTCCAGAGGAAAGCATCCCCCGAGACACGTTCACACCCACCCAAGAAGTTCCCGATGAAGCAGCAAGCGCTGTCCGGAGCAGCGAAGACGCTGCGTATCCAGAAGAAAGCCATCCCCTGGACGCACCCGCACCCACTCAAGACATTCCCGATGAGGTAGTGCGCACTCCCTGGAGTGTTGATGAGCGCCTTTTCATCGAGTTGCAAGCCGGCTTTGCGCTCACCGCCGCCACCCTGCACATCTGTACAGTACTCCCGCCGACAGGCCAGAGCTACTACTACGTCTTTCGCCGGTTCTTCAGGGACGCCCAACAACACACCTCCGAGACCACACCCGACCAGAACACAAATGCAGTTCAGCGGAGCCAAGAAGATTACCTGCTCAAACAACAGGAGCTGGTACACTGGGCGCTGAATAAGACGGATGAATTGGCGCGGAAGGCGACGAAAACCGGAGAGTTCATGAGGGGTAAGATGTGGATCATCGAGCAGGCAGTCTTCGACGCGTATCGCAAGATCCGCGAAGACTACGGCCTCGATTTGCCGATCGAAGACCCGAGACAGACCAAGGAGATTCGCGAATTCCTGTATCGGATCGTTTGCGCAAGGTTCCCTAAGTCATTAGGACATAGTCCTACAAGCTCAGATGCAGACGAGAACCACGCCGCTACGGCGAATTCTGACGACGACATGTATGAAGGCTCAACCCTTAGCTCTCCGCCTGAAGACGAGTTTGAGAATACAGAGAGCGCTTCGCCGGCGGAGGAAGACGCGCCAGTCACAGAGGAGACTACACGACGGACAAGGACGAGGGCCAGGAAGCCTATCGCCCTCCCCGACGACAACAACGCACCCCCACCGGTCCGTCAGTCCGGTCGAAAAGTCCTTGTAACCGACAAAGCGAAAGAACCTCGGACAGGTACGAAACGCACCAGGCGGAGCACAGTGGTGGAAGAGGAGAATGAAGAGGAGAATGAGAATGGAGAAGAAGACGTCGAGGAAGAGGAAGAAGAGGCCGATGGTGGAGCGTCACCGAAGAAGCGCGCCAAGAAGGCCACCCAGAAGACCACTCAGAAGCCTGTAAAGCCGAAGACCAAGAAGGGCCACGGACCGAATCGCAAGCTGAACGATGCCTGGTCGCAAGCAGAGCGCGAGGTCATCATAGCGCTCTTCAACAAGATCATAGCCGAGAAGGGCCTGATCTATTGGGCGGAAAATATCAGTGCCCTCTTCTACGAAGCCACCGACGCGGTCAACGCACATAGGGCCCTAGACAAGACGACATATCCAGGTGACCCTCGTGGGATGGACGGTGTCCGCACTCAGGTCCACAAGAAGGCCGCTTATAAGCGCATCAAAGACCGAGCTGACGCGCTGAGGACTAGGAAGGCGGATCCGAAGAAGACGGTGACAGAGGCAGAGCTGAAGCCTCGGGACGTGTTCAAGGTGACGGATCTTGAGCCCGATAGCGGCAAGAAATGAGGACAAGGAGAGGAAGCTGGATGAAGAAGGTGGTGGTGCTACGATTTGTGGCTTTTGATGAATGGGTATAACATGGGTGATCTCGCGATACGTGTCCGTCGGGGTGACATCAAGGCAACGGCTTCCGCCGATGAGAAAGAAGACATGGACTGGATGTAGTGCTGCAGGTTAGAAAGCGTGTGAGTGACATCGCGAGATACAGATGCTCTGCGCTTCCTTTGTGTCGTCGCCCTTTCCTATAGCAATGGAAAGATGAAAGTTATATATCCGAATGTGCTGGTTGTGCTTACTGAGTGTCTTCACCACGCCCGCCAACTTATACGAATGGACAGCGTTTGCCTACGGAAATTGTGTCCGTCCACGAGGTTCGCGCGTATGTGCGATTATAGTCAGATAGTCAGTGTGTGTGAGGAGGTGATGATGTGACGATAGGAGACGAGAAAGCTAGGTGCCCCTTAATATATTATTATAATCCTAGTTTTATTTACTAAGGCGCTAGTCTAAAAGTAGATTTTTTTCTTTTATAATACTACTCTTTTATATAAATAGTAAATATTATAAAGCTATAAAATTAATTTATAATACTAGCTCTAACTACTTTAACTATCTTAAACTAGTTATATACTAAACTTAGTAAGTAGTATATTTACTAAACTTACTTTTTACTACTATACTTTTTTTAAAAACTTTTTTTTAAAAATTATTAGCTACTACTTAGTAGTAAGCTAAAAAAGTAGTATTTTAATTATAGCTACTTTTTATATATAAAAGTAAAAATAACTTAGTACTATAATATTAAAAACTTTACTTTAAAGTATAAATTAATTTTATACTATTATTAAGCTACTTAAATATATATAAAATTATTTTAGCTACTTTTATATTTTAATAAAGTAGCTATACTACTATTATTTTTAGTTTTTTAAATATTACTTTAAAAAAAGTAAGTAAGTAATAAAAAATTTTATACTATAGTAAAAAATTAAAATATAAATATAAAAATAATACTATAAAAGTATTAAAGAAGCTAAGAAATTAATAAATAATAAGCTAAGTGTTTATTATTATAATAATTTAATTATTTATTATTATAATAAAAAGTTTAAAAAAAAGTAGTAAAAGATATATATTTTATAAACTTACTAGTTAAGCTTTAACTCTAGTTTTATATAAGCTATTATAAAACTTATTATACTAACTTATTATAATAACTTATTATATATTTATTATAAAGTTATTTTTAGCTACTATAAGTATATATAAAAATAACTACTTTAAATAAATAACTTAGTAAACTACTATTACTAAATATTTTTTTCTCTAATATATATAACTAAAGTACTTTTATAAAAAGACCTCTTAGGCTTAAGCGCGAAAGATAGAGAAGAAAGCCAGGTGCTAAGGTGAGGCCGAGGTTTGCAGCTAGTGCGTCATGACGTCACCACCAACGCGTCAACACCGAGCAACTTCCTTCCCGAATCCAATACCTGCATAAGCCTCGCTCATCGCGTCGCAATGCATCCATACTCTTTATCTCCACCGAAGGAGCGGTCGAGATGTGTGCGACAGTGTGCACACAGAATGCCATCTCTGGGCAGTACTACTGCATCCATTCTAGCCTGAGCGTCGCTGATCTGACCCGTCGATTTCACGAGTCGTCCGCGCGACGAATACGCAAACAATAAGCATGCGGGCAGGGCTTGTGAATTGACATGCTGAAGAGGGTCATGCATCGATATCAAGACGCGTGAAAGGTATCGCGTGTCGCTTGCTGCTGGAAGCGCGTGAGCAAGGTCGATATCCTTCCGATTACAAAGACTGGTGTCATCGAATGAGTTACTGACAGACTATCGTTACTTCACAGTACCATGGCTTCAGAGGATCACTACAAACACGCAATATTACTCTACGCCCGTCTCAAGGCTGAAGCCGGCGACTACCCGCACTGGAATGGATTACACATCTACGACATGATCAAGGAGGGTGTTAGCGACGAACACATCAAAGCCGAGTGGAGTGGTACTGTGTTGATGTATCGAGACTCATCGGGCGGAGCGGCAGACGTCTTTTCGCGCTTGAGTCGTTTCGGTGTTACTCGTCATGGCATTGACCAAAATTTTGTCGCAGAATGGATGGAAGATGGAATGTCAGAACGAACCATCGCCTTGCAGTACCTTCTATCTCCACTGGAGCCAACTATCGAGGATGTAAAGGCATGCTTAGCTGAGCTCCAACGTCAAATGGGCCCTTGTCCATCGATGACAGAAGAGTATATCCGCAGATGCATGGAAGACCGTACCCTTGGCGAAGACCTTGCTATGGAGTATGCAAAGCGCCGACAAGAAGCGCAACTGGCAAATCAAACAGACGTTCCACACCCAATGTCCGACGAGGACTTGTGGTTCGAGCTACATTACGGTCTTCTATACGCTACCACGAAACTTCCGTCGGAGCCCGTCGTTTTGCGGCATCCACGGCACTCCGTGCATCAGTACAACATGTACTTTAACGACGGGTCTGGTATTGACGACGGTGTCTTCAACGCCAAGACAAGAAGATTGGTCAGAGACACGGTCATGAGGCTAGATTGGCGACTGGACCCATTCATTAAAGCAGGCGGTCATCCAATAGCCTTGCGAACAACCGTTACGTCGGATCATCTGGCCGCATACCGGAAGATACGTAAAGTCATCATAGGTGATGAGAGCAACACAGACGTGGAGAGTCATAGCGAGCGCTTGCAATTCCTCATGGACCTAGCGGCAAAGTTACATCCAAATCTAGCCTCACCGCCTATGCAGTCTACTGATGTGTTAGCACCAGTGGAAGCGTTCTCCAAAAGCCTCTGGACCGAAATGGAACGTCACGCCCTCTGGCGCGCCATCAACAGGTGGTGCAAGGATAATGGTGTAGATCAATTTGAATCAGGCAACATAGGCATAGTCACATGTCAGACTTTTGCTGACGATATCAAAGCAGATTGCGCGATTAGAGGTAGAGGATCAGAGCGCAGTGCAGAGAGCGTCCAAAGCCAAGTAAAAGACGCGATACGGAGGAACAAGACGAGAGCGAACAAGCCGATCACGGAGCTGGCCTTGCGTGCAAAGGCAATGAAAAAGAAACTCAATGACAAAGGCGTCGACTCTGTCCCAAAGAGCGAAAGGTTTCCGAAAGCAGCCATTGATATCCCAGGGGATGATGAGTCGGACACTGATAAGATAGGTTCTGCAAGTGTTCAGGATGAAGGAGGTGCTTGGATGAGGTCAACTAGAGGTTAGCTACAATGAAGCCTAGCCCTCTCTCATGACCTAGATCTGGATTTGATGGGTGAGTCTGATAGTGTTATGCCGAGCAAATTACGAGGATGCCGCGAACAGTGTAAGATGGTGGCAACGTAGTGGCAGGACAAGCAATCTTCCTGTGGCTCCGCACGATTGTTCGAGCCCAGCGTGACCTAATAATATCATCCGCTTGATACCGTCCCTTACAAACACCCTGGCGTATAAAGCAGTAGGCCAGTATGGCGTTACCTTCGATCAATACACGGAGTTTATCACCATGACCGACAACCTCGATACTTCAGCCGCCCCGCCCGCCGAATGGAACGCAGATCAGCGCTCCTGGATTCAACTCTACTACAAGCTACTTTTGGAAACCATACGCCGATACCCAACTTTCCCGGTCTGCACTAGTGATAACGTAGCTGCAATTGCTCATCGAATGTTCTACCGCAGCCCTGAAGAGAGGCAAAATGGCATCCATCTACACTCTGTAGAAGACGAAGCGATCTACAAGGCCTCGTTTATTCGCTACCGGAACGCCGCGATGCCGAATCTACTGTCCCAAGTTGTGCAACTCTGCACCGAAACTACCGAGTTGGACTCTCGTTGCAGCGTACCTCAGGTCTTCATCAACAGGCCCATGCTAGACGAATACATCAGGATCAGCGGGACGTATGCAGGTGGCCTAGAAACCGATACTCCACAGCCTTGGGAGTCGCAGACTGCTCTCTGGGAGTTCATCTCAAAGGCAGTAAGCGAGAAGTTCATTCATCGTGGGGTTCTGCGCAGCCAGGATACTGTTGTGCAGTCGTTCGATCGAGTCACTCTGGGCAGCGGAAATTTCCCAACACCGCCCTCCGACGACGAGCGCGCAGAGTTGATGCTGTTTCAGCGACTCATTCAGCGTCGACTGGCTAGAGCTGACGATGACGATCCATCGATGGCATAGCGTAGGGGGCATAGTGACTTGATCCATGTGGACACCGGATATGCTGTGGTCTCGTTTCAGCATCTCGCACGGAAAGAAGTTCGATCTCAGGCAATTCGTACACCATATCTGCTTCATAGTCGTCCAAAATATTGCTTTTGTGACCCAATACTGTGCACGCAACGAGTTTTCAGTCCTCTCATAGGGCCGGATCCCCACATGATTTAGATATGTGCATTCTATTTAGGAGCGAAATGGAAGCTGACTGTGTGATCCTTTTTGGAGCATTGGGTCTCGAAGCGTGTACATTAAACGCTCCTGCAGGTCAGAGATGACGACTTCACGACGTTCAACTTATCCAGTAGGCTGCATCTTTCCACGTCGCACCCGATGACGCACCTGTGCCGTGCCGGTAAAAACAAAGTACCAGATTTCCATTGTGGAGAATCACCTTCGCGCACGGGCAGCCTTTGCGCTGACATACGCCGCAAGCTTCGCATTCGCCAGTCTGCTTCGCATTCTTTGACACACTGCCTCTTGCAATCACGATACTCTGCACGCATCCTCTTCCCGCGTTCGCCAGCCGGTTACTCCCCCTGACCATATTAGCATAGGTATTATGGTGGATGGCCTCAGTTGAGTCATATTCGGCGTCGTTGCGTGCACTGAAATAGTATTGAAAGCTTTCTTCGACTTCCTTTTGGGCGTTGGGGAACAGCTCGTCGAGCGTATGATAGCTGACTTCGCCTGCTCCCGAGACGCAGAATAACCAAGGTATTTCCTCAGCAGAGGAAACAAGAGGCTTAATCTGGATGGAGGGCGACGTTTTCTTCCGCTTGCTCGATCGCTGGGTCCGTGATTGGTCTTGCGCGATTTCGTGCGACGGCTCTCGAACGCTACATGTACGTGCAATTTCGGCTCCGTTGAGGGCTGTGCATCATGTTAGCGCTTGTTCATCATTGGGCCCAGTAGAAGGATGCGCTACTCACTGTCTTGGTCTTGGCTGAATTGCGAGCCATTAGAGTCATGCAATGGTGTCGGAAAAGCCTCATGGTTTTGGCTACGACTACCATGCGAGCGTTCTGTTGGCTCCAGCCTCGAAGATGGCGGTACCCAAGACGAGAAACCATCCGCTTCTCCGCTGTGAGTAGACTGCGACATGATTGGGAGCGGCGACCTCGTCATTCTACATCCTCCCGGCTTGGGAATGGCGTCATAGAAAATCTGATACTGCTTTTCTGAGTCGAGGAGCTGCCTCTTGGTGTCAGAAAGCTGTCTTTGCGTGTGCACTCTCTCTGTCTGTTCTTCCTTGGCAGTTGTGCGAGCAGCACACAGTTCCTCGTGGAGACGACTAGCGATGATCTTGTGCTCCTCTTTAATCCTTGCTATCTCCGCAGCGTGCTCTAGATTGCTGGTCCGCAGCTGTTCCTCTGCTTTGAAGAATGCGATACGCAATCCCGACTGTGCGGCGTCCCCGTCGGGGTCGGGGTCGTTCTTGGGTCGTACAGCTGCTGTAGATAGATCATTAGTCTTCGTGCTTAAGACGAGTTCACACTTCTGGAATGAAGTGCTGTTGCCTTTGTTCTCTTTGGATACTCACCTGTAGAATAGAGTTGTTCCTCAAGTTGGGCGATCATGGTATCTTTCGCCTTGCATTCATCGCAAAGCTCTTGTTCCTTCAAGGCTGTGATGTTCTCTTTGAGGGCATCGTTTTCCTCCCATAGCCGTCCGATTTTGACGTACAGGTCGTTCAGTTTTCGCTTTTGTTCGCAAACGGGAGTAGTGACTTCTGGGGTAAGTTCACGGGCTTCGGAATCCTTGCGCGTATCACTGGATTGAGTGTCGCAATGCTGATGAGCAGCTTGCCCATCGAGGAGGCTTGGACGCGACATCTCTCACATCCGGGACGATGGGAATTGGGCGAGATCGGAGAGACAGGATGAGGAGTGACAAGGGTGTGGAGGGCGCGGTGGGGTCGCGACGCGTGCGCTTCAGGAAAGAGCAAACGAGCTTAGTCACGTGAGTGTTAGTCAGCGCAGAGTCAGAAACAGTGCATGGACGAACTGTGGCCTGGTCGATGGTATATGTAAATAAGAATAGTCGAGGATGCAATACTAATGACTTGTTTTGCTCGATTCATGTTCCAATAGTACTATCATGAACTACCATAGCTTCCATGCGCTCCGTGCTTCAACAGTACCGTTGCAAGGAACTGCCGTGCCGTTGCTTGGGCTTACAACACCCTTGCTCTGGATTCCAGTACCCTCGCTCGTGCTATCTGTACCGTTGCTCGGGCTTCCAGCGGTAGTCACCCTGCCTAAAGATGGACGTGCGAAGTCAGCAAATGTATCACAACAGTTCGTACATGGATACTACTTGCTGTTACCATTGAACGCAAGTAGGTTCACCGAACCCATAGGATCCGTCACAACATTGGGCGTAGCTAGCGCATACACCCTCGCCTTAACATCGGCAGCAGTCGATGGTCCTTCAAGACCACGCAGATACGAGACCAAGCCCGCTACGTGAGGAGATGCCATAGAAGTACCGGTCAGCGTCCTCGTCTCTGTGTCGCCCAAATTGGATGCGGATACAATGTTCGTTCCAGCAGCAAAGATGTCGACCGCAGCGCCGTAGTTGGAGCCTCCACCGCCGCTGTGCCTCTTGTTGGTGATTTCGATGTTTCCAACACAGATGACTTCAGGGGAGCGAGCTGGCGAGCTGTTGATAGCAGGGGAATCCTCATTTCCTGCCGATGTCACGACGAGAACGCCTTTCTTCCATGCTGCAGTGATGGCGGCATCCCATGTTGTTGACGCGGAAGAGCCAAGCGAGACGTTGATGACGGCGGTGTTTTGGCGGCCCTTGGAAACGATGTCGTTGACTGTCCAGTCAAATCCGGCGAAGACATCTGATGCGCTGCCAGTGTCACTGTCCAAAACCTTCACGCCGATGATGTTGGTCTTCTTAGCAACGCCGTACTTGGCGCCACCCACGGTTCCAGCTACATGCCTAGAACTTGTCAGGATGTGAAAATGAATGTTCTAGCGAGTGCGACTTACGTTCCGTGGCCTTCGTTGTCGGCGTCGGCGGTGCCTCTCACGGCATTGTAGCCCCAAGTTGCTCGTCCCTCGAAGTCGCTATGAGTGATACGAACACCAGTGTCTTAAAGATAACGTCAATATCAAGTCAATATTGTCATCAATTTCGTGACTTACCCATAACGTAGGAGAAGGTGCCTTTGCCCGCAGTGTCATCATACACGTATGAAGTGGCTCCTGGCTTGCGGGAAGAGATGCTGGCTAGACCCCACGGTGCGTTCGCTTGAGTCACCACCGCGTTGATCCTGACGATGAAGTCCGGTTCAATGGTGAGGACCTCAGGGAGAGCCTTCAGCTCTTCAACGGTAGCCTCATCGAACGACCCAGCGTAGGCTTTGAAGTCGCCAAACCCGTACTCGCGGTCCACTGGAGCACCAACGGGACCATCGTCGCCTCGTCGAGCCAGATTGCGGGCATGTATACTGCGCACAGTGTTGTGATGGGCTGCGATGGATGCAACGTCGGTATCAGGCTTCAGCTGAACGATGTATTTTCCGGGGATGATCTCATTTGCTGGGGGCGCCACGACGGGAGCAGCTTGGGCCAGGAAAGGGGCTGCAGCTGCAGCGAGCGCGGTAATGCGGGTGAAGAACTGCATTTTGCCTGTGGATCGTGGGTGCGGCGCGTGGAAATCAAGGTCGATTTGCCTTCTACTGCTGGACTACGTGCGCTTTTTGACTTGCACCATCTTCGTAGCATAGGTTACGATACGACTAATCGTTAATCCAAGCATCGCGCTTTTCTTGACTACTGCCTGTTTGGGCACAGCTCCCGTAATGCAATTCGTATAAGAGGCGATGCCGGTAGCGGTAGATGAGAATCTTCCGACTCATGGTCGGCCAAGACGGTCGCGCCAGGGGTAATTTTGGAAACGGGATGGGAAGCAACCCTGTTCTTCCGGCCAGCGCTTTCCAATTCGAGCGTGACTACCGGGCGCGAAGCGATGAACACGGGATCCGGATTCGTATTCTGTGGATAGATCCCACATCGGAATGCACTCCGCAAAATCGGGCCTTGTAGAATCAATGCCATTGTTCGCGACAACAGAACAGGCAGGTTCCAAGAGTCTGTATATTGCGAAAGGCTCGAAAATATGGGGAGAGATAAGAATCAGTCTGGGCAATAGAGCACTATCAAGGGTAAACAGCAGTAGATGATGCAGAACGCTGTTCAGAGTGGTGGATTCTTCGGAGAGAACAGTCTGCGGTGCATCTGGAGCCGTATTGCATCAGCCCAACAGACGCAAAGAGGAGACTATCCAGTCAAGAGATAACAACGTGAACTATTGACGACTTGAGTTGCGTGATGATCTCGTACTGGAAGAATCCGCTGGGCGGGCGGTCCCGAGATCGTGAGCGGCTTGCGGCAGATATCGGCGCGACTACGGAAGTAGATAGCAGAGACTATCAGTCCAATCCATCGAGCGGGTTGATGATCTGATACCGAACAATCGCTGTTTCGTGCCATCTGTATTAGCTGGCCCGCGATCGGCTGATTGTGGTCGACGCATAATGTGTGTAGATGATGGGCATGCGGGTGAAAAGGAGTAGCGAGGAAGCCGCTCCGGTCGAGAACAGGCTAGACTGGTTGCGCTAGATGACTCAGCAACTTCCGAGGTCCCTCGCGCCAGGATGGCGTGTCGGAGCTGTTGCAAACTTCAACACCAGAGAACAATCGTCACGCGTCGTGGGGGACTGCATCAACCTGCATATTTACATGTTTTCGCTGAGATGCCATGGTAGCTTGCGACAGCGCTTAAAGAACAGATAGAACAAATGGACTACATAGGTATACAAGAAGTCCAATTCCCTTCCACCTGTTGACATTAATTCGCCTCTACGCTATGTCATTGGGCGTATAACCTTCGTCTTCTAGGCAAAACGCTGATGACAATGGCGAAATCTTCCATCTCTACCTGGGCCGAAATCTTGCTGACTCCTTCTCATCCCATTCCGCCTCTAACAAAAGAACAAGTTCTAGTCATCCTCTTCAACTACTTCTTCCTCCTCATCATCGCCAAACTCAAAGATCATGTCAACTTCGCGGCCGAGGTCCTCATCGTCGTCAACCGTCTCATCGACTTCCTTGGCAGTATATGCTTCATTACGAGCATCCATCTCGGCCTTGGTAAGATGCGCGTCTCGTCCAGGTTGTATCCTGCCTTTGGCACTAAGCCTGGGACGTTTGTCAGACTTGCGCGGGGAAGAGGGCAACAAATCGTCGTCCTCGCCATCTTCGTCCGAGCCAGAGTCAACGGAAGTCTCGTCGTCGGAATCAAGCTTACGCTTCTTGCCGGATTTGTTGTGTTCGGACGGTTTCTGCGGCTTCGCCTTTGCCAAGAAGTCGGCAACGTCGATAGCCTGATCAGGATAGCGCTCGTCGTCCGGGATGGTTTCACCAGCTTCAATACGCGCAGCCAGCTTCTGGCCCTCGATGGATAGCATGCCCAAGGGCTCGTTGGGTTTATTGGTGATCTGCTGTCTTGCCCAACCACTGACCGAGTCAACTGAACGCAGAAACCCTGTCTTTGCCACAAGAGTAGCCTGGAGATCCTCTCTCCCACTCTCCATAACCCGAGGCAGGAGCTTGTCCACGCCGTTCTTCTTGACCCAAGTGTTCACCCACTCGTAAACGATGGCACGCTCATCATCGGTCCAGGGATCGCGCATTTTGGTTGTCTCACCAGTGTCACGATTGCGCCACTGCGAGAGCTTCTTGCGGTACTTCAAGACCCATGCATCGTCGTTAAGGTCAATTTGATCAAGATGGTCGAGGTCGACGAGGTGTTCGTGGATGTACGCGTTTGTGGCTGTGTCAAAGACCATGAACTTGAAGGTAGGTGCCCAGCTTGTCTCGCCGCGCGTCCAGGTTTCTCCATCATCTGAAGTCACCCAAGACGTGTCTCTCCGCTTGTTCGGGATGGTGGCGATAGCGGGGTCCGGAATGAGATACTTGGGACGGGTTTTGTCGCGCCACATCCCGGTCAGCTCCTGCTCAGTGTACTTGATGGCGATTTCCGGAATGACGTCCAGCTGTGCGAAGACCCTTCCTAGCGGAGTGGTGACACGATGGTGTACCCGAATACAATCGCGCTTGTTCATCACGCGTATGAACTCCTCCGCATCTAGACGAGCCGTCTGATTGAAGACCGGTTTAGGTCGCTTGTGCTGCCAGTTATCGAAGTCGTACTGGAGCACGTATATCGATTCGAACAAGGCTTTCATCTTACTGAACTTCGTCGGGTTCGTCCAAGGGTCGACATCGGGGTCGAGACCCTTCTTCCTGGCCTTCTCCACCAACGCACCGTACAAGGTCACCAAGTCCTTACTCAAGAAGAGCTGCGAGAGCGATTGGTGTTCTGGATTTATGTCGCCATGCACGCGGTTCTTGCGCTCGGTGTTTAGGTTCGCATGCGACTGCTTCTTGATCGCCGCTGTCAAATTCGGGACGAGCTGGTCGCACAGGTTCTCGTATTGCCGAAGCCGCTCGGAACCATTACTTTTGGCGGACCAGTGTGTCGCGACGCCGTCTTCGGTGACATCTCCAGCCAGGAAGGCGTCGAGCTGTCGAACTTGGGCCGGAATGTCTAGGTCAACCACCGGCTGCGAGGGATGTCGCGTCAACGCCAGCAGTGTTGAATATGTCAGGAGAATGTGTAGTTCCTCTTGGTTCAAAGGTACGTTCGATGCTGCCAGTGAGGCCTTCGTCTCATCTTCGTCGTCGCGATTTAGCGCAGTGTCTTCGGCAGGCGCGCGCTCACTAACGCGGTCACCTCCCGCGATGGTGGGCGCGATCGACATGTCTGATGTGCAAACCGTCAGCGTCGTTTCCAGATATGATAACAGCTGGCAGTTCGAAACGCACAAACTTCATCCATGTTGTTGGCGCTGGCCCCAGTCGCTGGCTGCATCACATCAAGCCGCTCGTCTTTGTCACTCGTCATTGTATTTGCTATCCGTGTTTGCAAATAGACCCGCCAATGTCTCAATGACATCCAGGATGGTACCTGCGTAAAGCTTGACTTGGATGGCAGATCATCTGGTGGCAGTCTGTGCGTGAAGAGCCTTGGCAGTCGAGGTGAAGAAGTCTTGCGAGTGAGCAAATTATCAATCAGCAGAACGAGGACTTAATGACGCCATAGCAAACGGTGTGTCATTCACTTCCAATTAACGGATATCCTGTCAATCGATGGAATGGTGTGTAAGTCTTTGATGTAGTTCTCATATGGTCTCTCAATACATGAACAGTGCATAGTACATCGGCTAGTTTAGTCGACGAGCTCGGCAAAGAGACGAAACCAGTGACGACGACGATTGTGTAGTTGACAACGCATTTAGTTGTCATTGAGGCGCAAGGCATGTGCCGTATCGAGCTGTTGTGAGAGATCCAGCAACAAACGGCAGCATTTGAAATACTTTGTGTTTATGTGATTACGGGTCACAACACAGAAGAGATCGACTTGCTCCACGCTATCGTATACGGATACATAGACGCAATAAAAGCTTTTATTGACTTCACAGATCTCTGTGACGACCGCATACAACCCATCATGATGGCCTGAAACTTCCCAACTCACCCATCGCGAGGCGGGAATCGTGAATCCCAGTGCTCTCCGTATGTTCCAAAGAGATATCTAAGACGTCTCTCAAAGCCTTCAACCGTGAATGTAGCATTACCTGGCGTGATGACGTACCTCCAAGGTCCTTCGTGCATGACCGCGAAGGTGTCGCCGCTATCGTTCTTGACATGTGAAGCGGAATAAGCCGGATTAACGACGACATAAATGTGGATACCAAGCTTGTGAAGGCGTCTGAGCAGCTTGAAGAGAATGCGCAGAACGCGTCGCACTTTCCGGAGGGTTTGAGCCTTTGTACCGTGACCGGTCTCGATGATAAGGATAATTTTGGCGCCTTTGCTGAGTCTGCACAGTTCCTCGAGGCGAGTGAGAACAACCTCCCGGTTTTCCAAATGGTGCTCTGTCACCACCAAACTCAACCGTCCTATTTTGGAAGTAAGATCGAGGGCACCGCGCTCGTCGACTGCGTAGTGCTCGAAGACCTTGCCCAGTAGCTCGTATCGAGCGCGAAAATCGAAACGAGCGTCTTGATTTATCAGCTCACGTATGATGTCCATGTGCAGTCCGATACCAGTGTATTGCTCCTCGAAAGCGTGTCGTAGAGTCGAGAGGCCGTTGACAAAAGAGATCCTGTTGTCCTTGCTGGAGAGGAAAGAGACAGAGCTTTCGGTCAAAAGATGCCGAGCAACGATGTCGCGTAGTTCCTGCGGTAGTCGTTGATGGACAGCTTCGCAAAAAGGGCGACAGAGAGCCTTGGCCTGAGCCTCTATCTGATCGGTGAAGCTCGTCCGTGCCAGGCGTAGATCTCCTCTCGCTCTTCTCAGCGCTTGCTTCTCTCGAATGAGCCTTGCTTTGGGGTTCGCTCTCTTCATCCGGTCAAGTTTGGCCGCCTTGTCATCGTAGGTTTCGCTAAGCGTACGAATCGAGTTGAGGGTCCTGGCAATTGTCAGTCTCGTGCACGTATTGAGCAGGATCAAGCCTACCTTTTCGCTTCAATACACCAATTACTGGAGTTCACGACACCGATGGTGGTCATAACGGCGTTTTGTAAGGAGGTGCTGGTGTAAGCCTTGCTCGTCGATCTGATGAAAGGGAAGGATAAGTGGATGTTCGTGGTGATGCACACAAAGTCGTGATAGGTTCAGTGAGCGAAGGGAAGAGGTTCGCGGCGGTGGCTTAACGCGACAAAGTAATAGCTGCGGTTGCGATGAAGCGCGACGAAGTTTGGTGGTCGTTGTTGATTGCGCACTAGATAGCGCAAACGGACGCCGGGGCAGTCACGGCCCTGTCACCACGTGGATGACGCGTGACGAGAGATACGGTTTAGCCAAGCATAACAACAACGGCGCGCATTACAACCTGGAATCCTTTGACTTTGTTGACCTCCATTGCATGTCAGCTGGAAGCCGAAGGCTAGATAAGGGTTGGGCACTCACCGCCAAGCCATGCCTGTGACGTTCACAGGCATGCAGTTTGTTTCCTGCTCCAACGCATCCGTCTCTTCTAGACAATACTGAAATTCGTCTACCAAGCCGCGGTGATCTCCAAAACCAGCAATGCTGGCACCGACCACATAGCCGGCCTTTCTCAACCGACACAGACACTCAATCATGGGGGCAGTACCCTCCAAGAGGAGAGCATCTTGACCATTATCGGGCATCGCCGAGGTATCCATATAGTCAAGAAGAATGAGTATCGACGCACCGGTTCGCAACTGAAACAGTAGCTCGAGATCTCGGATTTGTTCTTCCCAGCTTCGAGGAGAATACATTCGAAAGAGTATATTACCAGGACGGTCTTTCTTCGGGTCGAACGCTAGAAAATCTGGAGATACGACGATACAGATCTTCGTAATGAGCTTGAAACGCGAGGTGTGCATAGAAGGGGCATTCTCGTCAAGAAAGCGCCTCAAATTCACGAGGTGCCACCGTACATTGAAGGTATTTGCGCGGTACCAGACGGCCATCATTCTCGCTAGCATGGCCTTGCCGACATACTCGACCTTCCAGTAATGTGCGGGTGGATGATACTGGTCATAAGCATAAATGGGCTCGCAAGTCCCACCCGCTGCCACGCCCGTGCGACTGTGGCCTATGACGCGTTCAATGATCATGTCACACAACTCTGGGGGCAGAGAAACGAGGATCTTTTGGCACATGTACCTGCATGACGCTCTTCCATAGGTATCGAAGATTTTTAATTCTCGTATAGCTCGCTCGGCAGTCCTATGTTTCCCAGAGACATATTGCGTTCTGATACGCTGACGGGCGCTGGTAATTTGCGTTAACGTGAGCCCGGATGGACGAGGGTTATCTCGACTTACGCAACAGCCTTTCGATACAGCTTCAACACTTCTTTGGCAGTTGTTTCTTTACGCATGACGTTTTTGTATTCTTGTGATAATGATCTGTTTAGGATGAGGAGGGATTGACGCAAGGACGACTTGACATCGTGCGGGGCTAGGCAGCAGCGCGGGATTCTAGATAGCGTCTTGGCACTGTAACACGCATGCGCGGGGCGTAAATGCCATCCCGTTTGGATCATGACATTGGCAGCGTGAAGTAGTAGGTGGTGTGCGTCTCCTATTCATCGTCAGCCGAGAGCCTACTGCTATGTTCAACCGGACACTTACAGCCACACCAGATTTGAGCCATACCCAGTGGAAAAGCAACTTCGCGTGTCATCGGTCGACCTTTCCGAAACCGAGTCATAGAGTGAGCCGTTGTTCGGCCATTTTGATGATAGCATGATACCAGTGGAAAGGCCGTATCCAGCAGCCGCCAAACGTGACAGTAGGTCAGCTATAGTGGCGGTAACCTCACGCAATACCTTTCTTTCGTGATATGCATATCGATCTGGTGTCCTTGCGAGTGTGGTGTAGTTATGGGGTACAATGACATAGACGTGGATGGAAGCGCCCTCCTTCAACAAGAACAGGTGCTCCAGTCGTTCTAGCATGCGTGTGCGGGATGCGGAGTCCCTCACCACACCTCCTCCCGATGGCTGCATGTGAGTCCCCACGTCTCTGAGGTCGAAGGCGATGCTGATCTTTGTGACAAGCAGCTGGCGGGTTGTGTCCAACGGTGCGGGTTGAGACGAAAGGAAGCGTTCGAGATAACCCAGATCCTGTCCAATGTGAAAACGAACCAAGCGATACCAGACTTCGAGTATCTCTTTCGAGGTCGCGTCGCCAACTTTCTCGGCTTGCCAGTAGCGAGGGCCCGATTTGGAGCAAGTTGGCTCGCTTGTCGGCAATGCAGCAACGTCGCGTACTACTGAAGACAAGACATACTCGTAGATCATGTCTCTAAGTTCCCTTGGTAGTGTCGTAATTACGTTGTCGCAGAGTTCCTGACATGCAAACTCGTGATTGGTGTCTATGGCGTTTGTGGCGGAGCGTCCGGACATTTCCATTTCGTGTTGTGAGATCCTTACAGCAGTGGCGAAGCAGCCAAGATGAATTGCAGGCGCGCTGTTCGAGGCGAAAGTAGGATAGAGCGTCGAGATTACCAAAAGTACCGGTCGCGATGAGAGAGCCGGGAGGCGGAAGGTCAGGGGCGCAGAGCGGGGTTATGTACCACCTGCGCCGAAGGCGCAGGTATATTCACGACAGGCTGCATGGGTACCTATTGTTCTGCTTTCGTTTGTTTTGATCCACATCGAATCTATCAAACTCGTGTGTCGTTTAGGCTGGCGACTGTGGTTTCACTTCATGACAGCTTGGAGACCGATGTGATGCGGAGGCTCCCGAGGTCCCTAGCTAGGTAGCGTGGAAGCTAACCAGGTCTGGGCAAACCTCACGCGTGATCACGCGCTTCTCGGCGCGTCATCCCCCGCAGCTGTCCCGGGCCACCTGGTTGACGCCCCAGGACGTCGCTGGTTCTCCAAGGTTGCTATTTTCAATTGCCATGTGACTTCGCGTGACGTGGGGTTTCATCCGGCGGATCCCAACGCGACTCATCGCTCCGTGCGACAAGACAGACCGCGTCGACTGAGCGGCACCTCCACAGCTTCCTCCACCACCACCACTCCGAGAGCCATACTCTCGCGCAAGACGCAGATATGCCGAACACCAAGAAGCTCTCTGATGGCGAGACGTAAGTGGAAGATCTCCCAAGTGTTGGAAATGTATTGACGCATTTGCAGTCTGGAGCAACGCCTATGCCATTACCTTCGAGCGAAGCAGAACCGTACACAACACCTGTTGGCAGATGACCAGCGTAT